ATTATAGGAAATGCGTTTTTCTAAAGTACATAAACTTTTAGGATTGACTGTATAGCCAATACATCCTTAAGCGATACTCGTTTCGTTATTGATACATTAAACAGTTATTTCGCAAATGACTTTTTACTTCAGCTTGGTTTTATTGTTAAGGGAAATCCAGCTTTGTTCTGTGCAAAGTGTTTTGGCTGAACGAAAACGTGGCTCACAAAGCGCGTAGAGGGAACTAAACAGAAAGGTAGAAAAAAGTGGAAACTGTCCACGTAAATGTCGCTCGCGGGGACATTAACATCGTTGACGTTTCGGGTAGATAAAAGTACGGGAAAACCGTGCAGCCAATGTTACAGGTTGTGCACGCATCCCGGTCCCCCAGTTACGCATGGCGCACAGACTCAAAGAAGCCGAGCTTGCATAAATCTCCGGAGAAATTAAAGTGCATACTCCCCTATCTCGGTCGCTCCGTGAAACAGAATTGTACGGTCGTATTGCAAGAAAAATAATTTTTCGCGTACCAGGAGTCCCGATCCTGTGCCCCTCTCCGCTTTCTCGTAATCGGTTTTCGTGTTTTCGTCGTTAGCCGACGATCCGCGATGACAAACTGTCAAACGTGACAAAGGCTGGGACTTTCAGGCAAAACAAAGCTACGATTCTCTTTTCGTCCGTCCAATTTGTCGTTGTCCGAAATCGAAAACAATCTGTTCGATATCTAGTTTGCCATGCCTATTTCGTAGATGTAGTGCACAAAACTAAAATTGGATTTAGAGATAAAGCAACTCGAGGGAAACAGTTTAAATGTTTTATAAAGAACCATCCGGTCTCGCAATAGACTGCAGCTTCCAGCCATTCATCGAAATGTTTGATGTGACCACGGAAAAGTTCTCTTCCGCGGAGGAATGCGACATCGAACGAGTGTCAGGGCTCGATGGGGCCGGGCGCATTTGCATAAAAGCCCCCGTCAAACTTCGTCAACCCCGTCAAAGTCTTCGGGTACATTAGGGCGAGGCGACAAACTTACGAAACTCTTCGTTCTGTGACCGAAACCGTTAACCATATCCGAGGGGACTTAAAAGGGTTCTGCAGAAAATTCTGCAATCTAGCATGCACTATCATTTTTTCTTATAAAACAGAAGCATACAGAAAAGGTATTCCGTATTCTCTTATTCTGGTCACGATTCGGTAATTATAATCCAATTTCTACTGCAAATTCGTATTTCATCCAGTATCGGTATGCAATTTTCTTAAATTCATTCTGCGGGATTTGAAAGTGCTCGCTTTTGACTGCTCGCAGCGGTAATTACTTACTCGCGTGACGCGACGACGACGCAGCCGGTGCGGTTGTTCGTTTTGGTCCCGAGTTTGTCGGCGTAAAGAGCTGACAGGACACGTAGGAACATGGTAAACCAGCTTAGAGTGGATAATATCGGTCAGCGGTTTTTTATGACCGCCCGCCCTCGTCGGTCGGGAGGAAAGTGAAAAACGGAGGGACCCGGCTGCTACGAGAGGTACGCTCGGGCACGTGTGCATACATGAAATTTTCAGCACCCGTCCGAAAATGATATTTACGAGTCTTTACGCGGTCGCGACTCTCGCAAATTCCGCTTTCGTGGAATTTTTTAACCGAAACATATGTGTCGCTCGATATATGTATTGTACCGTGAACGCTAGTCACGTTCAATTTTCCACTTTGTCCATCGTCACTACTTATAGTTCGAAAGTGAGATACGGGAATAAAGTTATAGCGAACTTGCGGAGTCATGCCGCTGCTGTAGCTAACTGGATAATCTTTTAACAATAGATGGAGATTCTAAGTGCGCCCTTTTAAGATCGAATCGTGAGTCGATCCGAAAACATCCGTGAACGTGGCACCGTCACGTCGCAGATAGAGAACAATCGTACAAAGGGGATAGAGGACCTCTTCTTTCGTTAAAAGACACGTTCGTTTCACGCACGATCCCCTAATTATTGGCCGCGCGGCTCCACGAAAAGGTTCGAGGGCGCCTAGATACCAACGGCCGAGCTATTTCCCCGGGACGGCCGGAAAATCGGGGGATAATCGTACGACGTGAGTCGCTTCAAACTTTGTACATACATCGAATCTCGATGCTCCTCTTTTATCTCTAACAATAAGTAGAATCCCAGTTCGTTATGCTGTTCGTCTATCCGTCAACTGTT